TTTGCTGAATGTTCGGAAGAGCCACTTCAGCGCCATTGTGGTAGCGAGCGAACAGATACGTCTCTGCAAATGTCGTCTACCAGGTCTGGCCAGACCAGGAATAGACAGACCAAAGAATCCGCAGTGCTGTGTGCACAGTGGCCACGGAAAACATGTCACAAGCTGTTTCAGTGCAAGCGCTTTCTATAGAACAAAGCGTTGGTGAACAAGATGGGACCGTGCATTTTTGGAGCTTGATTTAGGCTTTGCACCATTGGCAAGAGACCTTGCATGACTCGATCCGCTCTGACGGACTAAGGTGAGCAGAACCAGTTGGGGATGCATCTCGGCGTCCAGAAAGGTGACTTGGCATGATTTGGGAATCAATTCAGGTGATCACATAATTACTATATAGCGTTGGGAGAATGGGTCTGGAGGGTACCTTTTTAGTTGTGATCCAGAAACAGAAGTCGTGTCCAAGGTCAAACAATTCTTGACTCCGTCGTGCATCCTAGCTGCAATTTCTTGCAAGATAATCCTAGTGCGCCATGAGTCATACGTTCGCCATCCTACCTTAGTCTGGTATTTTGCTTCTCAGGAAAGGCAAGCCCGATATAGGGCCTGTGGTGGTCCTAGAACTGGGTTGTCATGCAGGCTAGTGGGACCGCGTCAGCTCTTGGAATACTGGAACCCACTGGCGAAAGGGTACTAATCTTCGTCAGAGATATTTTCGAACAAGCAAGTTCTTTGAACAATAGATGTACTATATCAGACACAAAGAAACCTTTCAAGTCGGAAAACTTTTCTGCGGATCTTCCAGTTTCATCCAATGCGTTTTTCAGAACTGCAAGAGTCACAGATGGCAGTACAGCGCCCTGTTTTGAACTTGTCGCAGCTTGCAGGAGATGGCACCTTGAGCATTTTCAAGGCACTTAAAGACCGTCCTGGCAGCAAGTCTCCCAGCAGCAGAGTAGCTTTTGTTTGGTGCACTGGGATCGAGACATCTCCCAGTGACAGAAGCCTCCAACAAGACGTTGGCCAAAGAGTATCGCTGGCTGCGAGTCCCTCAAAACATCTCAAAACTATGTTGGAATTTGGAGGTGTCGCGCTGCCTCTTTGGGCGACTAGCAGTTTTACAGCTCCTGCAGATTCTACAGATCGCCATGCATTTTTAGCAGTGCAGGTTAATCTTATGTTGTGCAAAGGATTATCAGCACGGAGACCAACAAGGAGTGGTTGAAGGCTGCCAAAAGAGCCTTGGCTGTTCCTTTCTTTGGGGGATCGCCCCTAATCAGGAAAAGGTGCCGGGGCATACCGTTGGGCCACCTTAGTGTTGTTGAGACTGGAGCAGAGACGGCGGCGCAAAACATTGTGCTGTCATTCCAACATTCAGCTTGGCAGTGGACAGTGGATCCTCTCCTGTCTGAATTTTAAGGAATCATTGCTCATGCAGGCCATGGCTCACATGTTCAGTCGGGTTCTCATTTTCTGAAGGGTCAAAGTTGGTTGAAGCAGTCGCAATTAGCAAATGGTGCAAGAGTGCAAAGCTATACAAAGCTGTGACTGCTTGTAGCGCCGCAGAATTCAGAGGTGGATTCCTCTGCTTTTGCCAGAGAAGATAGACTTCTCTGACTTTCTGAAGAAGGTGAAGGCATCGTGGAAGCAGACTCAAGCGTCAAGCTGCTTCAAGTGGAGCCAGAGTGTTCCGATCTTGAGCATCTAGATTCTGGACGATTCTGGATGATTCTGGATGATTCTGGATGATTCTGGATGATTCTGGATGATTCTGGATGATTCTAGAACATCTAGAAAGAAGATGAACGAAGCACGTTCAGGGCAAAACTTGCTGCCTTGTCAGGATGACTATCAATTGAAGAGTTTTGACTCTATGGTCTTTGATCATGAGGAGTGTCGGAGTCATGTGCAAACGCAAACTTGGGGTAGGGAGTCACTAGTTGCAGCTTCAGGAAACTCACACTGCCACCACAATACTATATCACCATATCTTTTTGCATCTGATTTTCTTTAAAATCGTCGCCCTTCATGATACATCGTAATGTTCCAACCTATTTGTGATGCACATCGCCAGGAGAAACTGTTTCTGCCCTATTTGAAGACAATTCTAGAGCAGAAAATGCTGAGAGTCTGAGCAGCATGGAGCAGCATTGAGTTCGAATGGTTGAGACTCTTTGACCAGTCAGAATTGTTTCTCCTTGTGTGTGTGCGCCCTCTTCTACGCGTTTCTGCTTCGCATTTTGGAGATTGAAGAAAGATTCATTTGCAGGCAGAGCAAATCAAACATTATTCCCCTGCTGTCGTCAGCCTCTTTATGAGTTAGGAGCTGTTCCGTTTTAATTGTTTTTTAATGATTCAGATTGTCTCAGCGGAATTTGGCAGTTATTTTGTTACAAGTTCCTGCCTAGAATCGAAGGTTCAATCTCTGGTTTTGGCCCAAGCCCAAGCATTTGTAAGGAGTTGGTGGAACCGTACAGATTGACAACGTTAAAAGGAGCAGCTGCGCTTCACAATGCACTTGACGCTGACAGCAATGGCCTATCTCTCCTGAAAATCTTTTATTTCTCGTGTTGCAAATATGACACACCTGACGCATTTTTGGGGTGCCTGAGTGATGCAAGAGTTGCTATGGTATAGGTTGCACCCATGTTGGAGCAGTTTAGCTCGTGATCTAATAGATTTTCTAGAGAACTCTTTTCTTCGGATGAAATTTGATGACATTCTGAAGACATTCCTTGAGGGTCAGATTTGTCATGCTTCGACAGAAAGTTTGCTCCGAGAGGAAGGCTAGTGCCTTGGCAAAGTACCTGGACTTCGTGAAGCCTGGACACTTGCCAAGTCATGGCCAGTGCGATCCATTTCATTCAATTATAATATATATATATATTTATTATTATCATTATTATCATTATTATCATTATTATTATATAATAATAATTATTATTAATTCTTCTTCTTCTTATTATTATTATTAATATATTAATATAGACAATATATGTTGATAGAATAATTTATGATATCATATTATGCACTATAACTTTCAGATACTTTTAGCCCTTGTGCATCAGGTGAATAGTGTGGCAATCACAGGATAGATAGGATAGTGAAGGATTCCTTCCACGGACTGTCATTTTCATTGTGAATGTGTGGGATTCATAGCCCTCGACCGAGGAAGGAATGGATTCAGCACACGGGTGATTCAGGTGCCGGGCTAAAGGTGCACAAATGTGAAAGCACCGAAGCAGCACATACATCTGGATTGCGAAAACATGGGTTACTCAGGCCACACATGCTTGACTTCTTACTTCTGGTTTTTTCGTGAGCCATGACTCCAGCCCACACTCTTCATCCGCCATCATGTGGCTACTGGAACCTCTTCGCCCCCAGCATGTCTGACTAGAGCACGTCCAGCACGTCCATGTTCTCCTCAGGTTGATGAACCTTATCCTGATGCTGTTGCAATTTCACAGTTCCTGGAGATTGCCGAGCTTTAGCAGGGCAAAAATAGTGCGCTAGAACTGGTGCTCTTATTTTAGATGTCGAGTGTTCACAAGAAAGGCATTGCACTGAGCCAAACAACTTGAAACATTGTCTCGAAAAGATTCCGTCCGGAATTGACTTTTGACTTTTTGTTTGTTTTTTAAAGTTTCGTGGAATACCACTCTGTCAGGGCTGCTCGGGGAGAGTCAGTCAATCTGGCTTGTTTCTGCTTCTTCTTGATGACACGAGCAGATACATTAGTATACTTTGCAGTATGAAAGGAAACAACCCATTTACTCTCGCTCCATCAGAATATTTTTCTATAAGCTCTCTCAGCAGATAGATTTCAATGCAGTGGATATCATATTATACTACTCAACTGCGATGGGAGCAGATTGAATCCAGATTTCAAAACCGATCCTGAGCACCCAATATTCTAGTCACTCTAGTCATTGCTTGCTAGGTTGACAGAGCCCCGAAGTGGATGATGAGACAAGCTGGACGGTACGAGATTCCTGTCGTGCTTTCAATAAAGCTCACTTACACCCTAATGATTTTTCATCTGAGTTTTCATCCATATCACCACCCACCCCGGAAAGCATGGTCAAAGGTTGCAAAGCAAGACCGGAAACGTTTTGCTTGGTTTTACTCCTTTGAACAGAGTTTGCAAGAAACTTGTGCCCAACGGCCTGTATCCTTCGTTACGTCTGAAGGTACTTGCCTGAGTACTTGGTGCACCCGCCGTCATTTTACAGATATCTGAGATGGTGTGGGGGCCAGGGTTTTGGGAGGACTGGGGTTTGGGTGAAACATTTTAACATGTAACCTCGAGACGGGTGCACTCTATAGAGGTTTGAGCAGGAGACCAAACAGATGGCTAATGACGCCAAGTGAATCCAAGCGACTTCAATTGACGCTGCAGCCGCTTCATGGAATCTTGGAATGCCAGGCGATGCTGAGTCACACGGATTTCTTCACGGTTTGCAAGACGCGTCCCAGTAGCACACAGAATCGTGGGATTTCTGGGAGTGTGACATTTGCAGCATGAATTCTCTTATGCCGGCAACGAGGCCAGAATTGGCATGCGAAATTACGCTGCAGCCGTGCGCTGACATGTTGGACAAGTAGCGCATCAAGAAGTTGGATAGACACACCTTTGCGCTTCTCTCCATGTATGTTTGGAAGCTCACGATGTTGATGCTGCTTCCAAGAGCCCTTGAACCTTCTGACTATGCATCCTTTCGGGCCCACCACCCATGTCCACAATAGAACTTTCCCAGTGATTGCATGCTGTTTCTAATAGCCGTTCTGTACTGCATGATGAATCTGTTTGCAAAGAAGAACTGGGCCGCATCAAAGTTTGCAAAAAAAATGCTGCATGCCAGGTACCGCAGGTATCCAAGCCTGGATTCTTTGATCATTTTCTCTGACATTTTGGTTATTCCAGCGCCGGCCTTGCTCTATTGCGGATACTGCATGCTTGGGATGTGCAGCAGATCTCATCTTGTCGAGTTGTTTCATTGCTGAAGACAAGACCAGGGTAGTTACTAGTTTCAATGCTGCTCAGCAGTCAGCGCTCGCTTCTATCGATGATGAAATCCCAAAGCTTGACTACGCTTGAAATGCCTAGTTTACTGCACTTCAGTACTTGCACTCTTTGGTTGGTTCCAACAAGGACAGACACTAGAGATGTCTTTCTGATAGGCACAATACTAGTACAGACTCTGCTTTGCAATTGCCAAGGTAGCCATGGGAATGAACTGCAGGATGGAGCCCAAGGCTCGAGAAGACTTGGTTCAGATCCAAAGTTCACAGAGAGAGGAGATACAGAGAAGATCTTAGAAAAACATAGAAAAAACACCGTTAGTCGCCTAGTCGCCTTTAGTGTTGAAGTTTGGTCGGCCCTGGCCCTGACAGGTTGGTCCTCAATTCGACTTTGCCCTCGAGACCCCGGAGGATGCTTTGGAAATGTGGATTTTCCTGCGTTTCCTGCGTTTCCTGCAAAGACTTGAACACAGTTGCTGCGCAGTTGCTACACACGTGCTATAGCAGGACATGGAGAAGCTGAATCTGACCCCCGATGTGGAGGCCACCATCCTTCAAATCTTTTCAGTGCTGACTTTGTTAATGTTGCGCAAAGTCCATTTCAGCAGTGAAGGCCAACATTTTGACCATCAAAGTGTTCATATTTCTTCATCACTGCATGTTGTTGTGCAAAAGGAGTTGGTGCATAAAGAAATGTAGGTCAAATAGCTGTCTTCAGATGTACTATTTGGGGGTGCCTAGTGGCCTAGTGGTTCGCTGTAGAGGCAACTCTAAGCTATGTCTTCGATGCTGTGTATTGGACACGCCAGCAGGCGCAAAGCCAGGGGGGCGTGTTTGATCACAATCAGCAGCTGTTAGGAATTTCTTTAGAAACGTTGGCTACAGTGGCGAAGACATTCGAACATTGAGGATGGGGGAGGTGAAAGGTAATGCAATGAAATGTCAAGCATTTGGCATGATATGATACTGCTTGATCACATACCTCTGCAAAGGATGTGGTTTTGTCTAGGTCTAATTTTTTCAGCACGGTAAAACCTTGCATAGCATGATTCATGTCAGAATTTCAGCATTTCCATCACGTTGGAGAGCTTTGCATTAGTAGTGTGGTATGTCAAAGCAATATACTGCTTTTTAATGGTTTTCCCTAATTTTCCCTCTGAGGTGAAAAACAAAGTGCCAGTCATCGGCTTCTCTGGGGCACCATGGACTCTGATGGGCTACATGGTGGAAGGCACAGGAGAAGCAAGAGAAGTTGGGTGTCAGTTCTTGTTGGTTTGCTCTTGATTCACTTGATCTTTTTGCCGGCAATTTGATGTCGGAAGTACTTTTGGTGTTTGATGGTTGGTGTTCGACATGTCTTTTTCGTCTGCAAGACAGTGCGTGCTTGAAATGTCTTGAGAGCATCAGAGGTAGGGTGTGCGCCATTGAAGGTGGTGCTGTTCGCAGCTTTGATCGTGCCAAGAAATGGCTCTACCTTTACCCAGAGGCCGGGCATTGACCTAAAAGACTATAAAAGCAAAGCTCTGGCATAGCTCTAGCTAGCTTAGATCTGAAGATAGTGATGAACTTTTGAAGAAAAGAGGGAGGCTGAGACTCAGGGAAGCTTGAGGCTTTTTTGACAGCTGTATCTTGAAAGGCATCTCGCAAGCTGCTTTCTGCCCTACGAGATATCGTGGCTGGATCCTTTGAACTGATGTGAAAGGATTGGATTTTGCTGAGAAATGAATGCACTTTCCCACGTGAAAAGAAATTCGCTTCTCATGCTACGTTGTTGTGTAGACTCGCCCTGATCGAGGTTGAGTATTTGGTGGGTCAATTCGATTCTGGAGCACCGCTGTTGACGGCTGGGTATCTCAATCACTCCGGGGGTTTGACAGATGTTCTGGGACATCAATTCGCTGAGGTCTTTGACACCAATTGCGGTGAGATCCCACCAAGGCTTTGTTTGTTTTTCCTAGCGGATTCTGGCGTCGAAGAATCAATTGTTGCTGTGGAATTGGTTCTGATGATGGGTGGTGATGGATGTATTGACCCTGTGAGAGTGTTAGACAATGTGCTTCTGCAAGTACTCTCAGATCATGCTAAGGAGCATATATTTGCATGTATATACAATATCTGTGAGTATTCATAGGTAGCAGTATACTGTCAATGTTTAGATTTTAGACGTGAAACTTGCTGGATGCCGGTATTTCTCTCAAATTGCTACCGCAAATTTAGCTAGATCACGTCTGAAGTCTTTCGATGTGATTTGGTGATATGGTCGTTTGGTCTGTCTTCGCAAACTTGCAGGCTCTACGACGAGTTCTGTGTGCCTGACTTGAAATACATCGCTACAGAGGCCAGAAAAAATAAGGCATGCGACCATGCCTCCCTTGAAATTTCTACCCAAAAAGTTTAAACCAATATACAGTTCAATGCCTAGGATTGGAGAAATCGGTGGGAATCAACACGTTTGAGCAATGAATCTGATTTATAGGTAGGTTGGGTTTCGGTTTCGGATCTGGCATTCTTGAGATTGTTGTCTTTTAAACCCATAACAGGCTGGCATTGACAGTAGTTGAGCATATTTGAGCCCTGCAAAAGACCCGGAATATGCATCGTTGGAGCTGTTCAAATTGCTGAAATTTCTATTTGCAAAGCAGCGAATACGTTCATGCTCTCAGAATTTTGATTGATGGTCATGGTGCTTTATTTGCTCATTTCACCCTGATGTGGGACTGTCTAGTTGTCTGCATTCAAAGGCACTTTTGATATCTTTTTTTACGAGTCATTAGCTCGGTTAATCCTGAAAAACTGATCAGTGCCAGCTCAGATCATGTCAATGTGAGGTGAAAAAGCGACGCCCCGGCGCTCTGGTCTCTGTGTTCCCCAAAGATGGGGAGTGTGGAATCTCAGCGACAGTGCAGCACTTTGGAGTTCGCTTGATCTTTTGGGTTCCTGACATTGACAAGAAGGGCCCGGTGTCTCACGATGATCCACATATACACATCAATCTTTGGACGGTCAGCTAGTTGTTTTCAAGCATTTGTTCAGGTCAGCAGCTGGACGACCTTTAGATTTAGGTAGCGACGTCAAAGAATAACCCCATGCACTTAGGAGCTAGTCAGGTATAAAACAGTGGTACTTTTTGACCTTTTGCACTTACCTTAAGCGTGACACTTCAGATAAAACGCAGTTCAGCAACATGCTTTAACATCCTCCTTTCTCATGGACTGACTCGGGTAAAACCTTAGTTTGGGGTTTCCTTGGTTCCAGTCAGCTGCAGAATGGTCCTGGCGCTGCTGATGCAATCGGAAGGTTTGGAAATGAGGGTTTCAGAGAGTAAGATTGAGTGTGGTCATTTGTATTGTCACAAGCAAAAACAGTGATTTGAAACATGCAAGCGGTATCCAGATAATCGACCAGCATATGTTGGGTGGCTGAGATCATGATCGTAGATCAGAAATGTTACTTTCCCATTGCATCAAATCATAATCACATCGCTCAAGGTGCAGAGACCCAGAACTTTTCTTCCCGTCTCTCTGAGAGTGTGAGTTTCTGAGGATGGCTACATTTGAAGACAGCGACTTTGATGTGGTTGGAGTGAGCTGGACGACGTCTCCGGCGGAGGCGTGAAGATCAAAGCCGTGTGTAAAAAATGTGCAAATTTACCTTCTGCTTAGTGTCTTGTCCAAGTGCATCAGATGCATCATTGGGGGAAACAAAGACCCTGTATGCAGATGTGTGCAGTAGAGTGTCCAGCCAAGTACGCAAGATGGGAAAGCGTGCTATGCGTGCTGTGTTGACTTCAGAATTTTATTGCTGCCAGGCGCGGAGAAGTTGTCCGAGCAAGTGCTGCCGGGCATGTTTGCATGCATACACGCATGGTTCAACTGGTTGGGACAGCTTCTTTCATGGCGTTACTTGCTTTGGGACATTTGAACATTCTCTATGTATGCTTCCAAATACGATCAACTTTCCTGCTGATAGATGCTTGCAATTCTACATAGAAGCAGCAGTGTGCATTCAATCGTGTCTCATTCAATGATTCTATTCTTGCCTTACTGAAGCGACATTCGGCTACTCTTTGCAACAACCTCTTAGCTGCGAAGTGGCATACTCTTGCCAAGCAGTTTGTTTGCTGTGCTTCTCTGAAATCCACTTTGGCAAAAAAAAACAGACAACCTGGAAGGAGCTGCAAATGAAGAAAGGAATGCATTGTTTACATTCGCCTGCGCACAGAACATGCATGTTGTATGTGTATGTATGTGTTATATTGAGAAACAAATCGACATTGTACAGGTATATGCAGTGTCATAACCGACATGTGCCGGTATACATTGAGGATACAACACGTTCCAGTCAGTGACAGAGATGGAAAGAAAGAAAAAAAAGAGACTTCATGGTCAAACTGTCAAACCATTGCTGAACCTGTGGCACTGCTGGAACACATTGGAACACTGGTATTCTGATGACAGGACGCTGCAGGGCAATCTGGATCCTCACTTGTCCCGGACTCAAACAGACACAGATACTGGACAGATACTTCAATTTCCATCAATTTCCCACGACGGGTTCCTGCATCGCACTCCGAGGCTATATGCAGACACAGAGCAGATTCGAGAAAGAACGGTCGCAATGGTCAAGGAATTTGGTTTGATCCTTAGAGGACCGCATTTTATTCAGCTTTAGTGACTTAAATGCATTTTATTCAGCTTGTCTAAGGCCCTTTTGCAAGTGTTGCCATTCTTGTAGAACCAAGGGGTGCCAAAGTACATTTGCAACCTTGGTCATGGCATGCCCTGGCACTCAGTTTTTGCTTTCTGGAGCAATCTAGAGATCAAGTCTGAAAACAAAACGCGCGATGCAATGGACAGCATGAGAAACTGGAGGGTGCCTGGACCCCTGGCTGAAATGACTTCATGTCGCAATGCTGCAGGGTGCCGACGCATCCAGTGGAAGGCCCCAAAGCTTTCATGGAGGCAGTGGACAGCGTGTCCAGCGAGGACCGTGCTTTGCCCTTGAGCAGATGCCAGAAAACTCGTCCTGCGAAAATCACATGTTGGCTATTTTGATTTGAAGACTGATAAAGAGTGATGCACCTTCAGCATTCGCTGTGGATGGTATGTTTGAAAGCGAACATTCACTGCCTTCTCATGCGAGGACGCTCCATGAAGCCAGGTTTTTTCAACTCAGAGAGCCCGAGTACTCTGCTTTTACAAAAAGCATGCTTCTTGACTCTTCATACTTTTATCAGCTTGACTCATACTGTCATGAATGCTAGTCAGTCTTTGCCCGAAACACTTGCTCGCAACCCTGCAGAGTGATGAAGGATGGATGTCCTGCAGACTACTCATCTACCAATCTACCGGCCGATTCAACGACTGATCCACTTATCTATCTATCATTATCTAAGTATCCACAGTTCAATCCAATCCTCCCTCCATCCATCATCCATTCAGTCAAATCTTTGTCAAATCATGAGCACAAGGATAGAAGGCAGTCAATGCAAGATCAAAGAGTTCTCTGCCCATCGCAGGGTGGTGGCTTTGGAGCTGGTGTGGTCAAAGCCTCTGAAGCTCATGTAATGCAGTGTGAGAATGGCCAATGTGAATGGAAGCATAGTGCAGAAGCGAAACCACACTGGGAGACGCAGAGAGTTGTGGACGTCACTTTGGAAGGGGATTCAGAGAACCTGCCCATACCCACCTCGAACACCCGCACATGCACAGACCAACATGAACGCGATCAGCTTGCCCCAAACTTGCATGCACACAATCAAAGAGTTACAAAGAAAATGTCAACCAGATGCATCGGAGGACATCGCTTTGCCCTTCACATGAGCCACAACAGAATGGAGAACCCCAAGTCCTGCACTGTTCCTTCTCATGGGCCGTTGAACTGCAGGTGAACTACACAATTTTGTAGGTTTATCACAGACAAGGTTATGGGGATTGTTCATCATTTTTCTTCGTCTTCCCCCCCTCGCCCTTTCACTCTCTCTCTCTCTCTCTATTCCCCCCACCTCTCTCCCTCTCTCAGTGGCAGTGTGTTTGATGCTTTCTTCAACCAGGCCGGTAGAAAGTATGAAGCTGAAGCAAAGCACAAGTTTCATTTTTCTTTGCCATTGTCTGTTCACGAAAGGCAGCTTCTGCTAGCTGAAGTCATTCTTGCTTTAGAAAGTGTTGCCAGGTTTGGAAGCAGTTTTGGCGTGTCTCAATCCCCCCCTCACAAATAAACGCCTGTTCATCAGCATCATCAGACTTTCCACGTCGTATCTCCCACACCGTTCTTTCACCACACCTTCCTCGTTCTCCGCGTACCTTCCCAGCCAGCTTTCGTCCCTTACTCCTTGGCCTCAAGAGAACACAAATTGTGTGGGAATCCTGCGCAATGTTTATTAACTTACGGATACTTATGGATACTTGTGGATACTTATGGCCAATCAGACTGCCTTTTTTTCTTGCCCAACCTTCTGGAGGGCATGGTGCCCGTTGGACGCAACTGTGTGGTTGACTGCAGGATTAGATAGGGCTCAAGGTTCGAGATATTTGGCGTCAACTTGGCTTGAACGAAAGGCAGTTCTTTGTAGGAGTGGCTACAATGCTAATTAGGATCGCAGGAGGTGAACTTTTTAATCCTGTATGCGATTAGGTAGTAGAAGTGGCCATATGCTGAATTTGAAACAGGGAAAGCACTTGGATACGCAAAAGCGACGACTTCGACTTCTCAAACACGCATCGGAAGTCCTGAATTCAAACCAATACAACATCAAACATTTACGTCGCTATCATAAAATGGGGCACTTGAATCTTGGCTGTCTCACACCAATCAGGGGATTTTTTTTTTCCTCGCGCATTCGGAATGGTCTTGCCAATCTCCTTTTCCGATGCTCGCAGCAGAATGATTTCTTTTTCTGCGCGTTACAAATGCTGGTCGCAAATGTTTTCTGGACTTTAATTGCATCTCAAGTGCAGACTTACTTCGAAGGGTGGCGACTTTGGTCTTGGAACCCTAAGCCAAGCGGGGCCAGCACCTTCAATGGGATCTGTCTCGGCCCCAAGTTCGAAAGGAGAACTGTAGATAAAGTGTGATAAAGTGACACCTTGCATGTTTTTCCATGTGTTTACATGTTTCAAAGAAAGCGCAAGCTGAAACTGCTTGAAATAGAGGCTGCACCTCATCATGCCCCTACTTATGCATGAGGCCAGGGATTTGACGAGACTGGTGTTTATGTTTGCAATCGCTGTTTAAGGGCATTTAAACATTTCAAAAAGCATGGTCCAATCTGTCTACGGCCAGAGCAGGATACCCTAGGAGATCTAGTTGCATCCGGACTATTTGTCACGATGTTCCCTCTGCCATTGTGCCATGCTTTGATTTTTGACAATGCGTTCCTTTCTGGCAAGTGCTGTCTCTGACACTGGCAAACCAGATTTGACAATTTGATAGCAGGTTCTCTTTGCTCCTGTCGTTCCTTTGTCTGATCTTCCATAGTTCTTCGGTAGAAATGACCCCCAATCACAATAAATTGGATCCTAGCTTTGAGTGCTTCAGATGGTGACAGATTGCAATCGGTGTCAGCGCACCTTTGGGAGTCTCTTCGTTGCAACTCTGCAACTCCAAATTAACACTATCTTACACTACTGTATCTATGACTATCTGTCACTATCTATCACTATCTTACACTCACATGAGCTCCTCAAGGCTTCATGCTGTTCTTGTGATGGTGGTCAGAGAAAATTATGGCTGTGAACTGCAGCTCCGTTCGTGCAACCCTCCTGTCTTGTAGGTATATAATTTTCTATAATTCTTCTGAACAGTTCAGCACTGCAGCGCCATTTAGCAATTGCTGGCCTTCACTGATGGGATCTGATTCATTTGAGCTGTTTTAGCTGCGATCTGTCCTCTCACTGCCTCTTCCAACCTTGAATGTTGGCCTTCGTTGTAGAGATGCAGATCCGCGTTGATGAGCATCAGTAAAATTCGCCCACATAACAGGAGGTTTGCCGTTTGCCTCCTCTTCCTGTTGGTGTATATCGATTGGGCATGATTGGGCCCACCTCTGTAGCAACAAGGTTTTAGAGTCTTTCTGTTCATTTAGGCTTTGGGATAGGTGGGGTTACTGTTTGGACTAGAAGGGTTAGGGCTTGTATGGTTTCAGGGTTTTTTATATTATTGTGAATCTGGTTGTATTTTTTCCTCACCACAACACAACAAGTAGCATCACGAGCAGCGAAAGCAGTGCCGGGCCAGAAGGATGTTTTACCATGTTTTACCAGTATGAGCGAGGTGTCCCTCTAAGCCTCCTGGTAATTTATGTTCTAGCCGTCGTCGTCCTCCTCATCCTCCTCATCATAATCATCATCGTCGTCGTCGTCGTTGTCGCCGCCGTTGTCGGTTGTCGTTGTCGTCGTCGTCATCATCGTCATCACCACCACCACTACCACCACAGCCATTTTTTAATCATGCCTATCATCCCTATCATGCCCATCATCTCATCCCAACAAATATCATCCTCACGGTCATCCGTGTTTGCTCTCATCGGGGTCATCATGGCTATCGTGATCACCACTGTTGTCAATCCCATCATCGCGACCACCATCGCTTTTAGATCAAAATGGAATGCAATGGATCGGATAGATGGACATGTCACTGATCATATGATCATGTTGCATGTCATGTTCACGATGTTCACGTCATGGTTTGAATTGTGATAGGTGCCTGAAATACCTGAGCTGAACCAGGCCGCACTGCAAGGCCGTGACATAAATTCCATTTCATGGACCGAAGAAGTTTGAGCAGAAAAAGAGCGCGTTGGATCAATGTCTCTGGATTTTTGCAACTATGACCCTAGGACCAACAGGTGAGAAAAAACATTACTTCACTCTCAACATTTTGTATGACTTTCAGGTTTTTCGTCTAAAGGCCATCCTGTCGAGAACCAAACCCTAGGCAAGCTAAAGTACTTCAAGGTCCAAGGTTTTGAGTCAGGTGTTATGACAGCTCCCAGGACGAATGAAGCCTTGCCTTGCTACAAAAGTTACCCGAGTTCCGCCGGGTACAGTCTGCTTTCAGCACCGCCAAGAGGTTTCCCTGCAGGATAGTTTTTGCATGTTTGCTTTTGCTTGGCCATCATGCTAGCTGAAATAAAAGCATGTGAACTCACAATTTTTCTGATTTCGGCGTAGTTTTCTCTCCTTTGGTGCTCAGATTGAGGCAGCGACTTCCCTTGTGGGAGTCAGACACTTTAAGATTCGAGGCAGAAACTCCTAATTTCCTATCTTTCCTTTGATATGCTTTGAGGGTTTTCAAGATCCAAGTCCAAGAGAGAGAGAGAGAGAGTGGACTTTTGTGGGTGCCCGCCTGAAGTTTGGGTGGTGGAGATCAGATGCCTCAAGTACCAGTTATTCAGGGCAGATTTCATAGTCCAGTGAGCACAGCAAGGCGAAGATTTACCTGCTGCCCACATCGCATGTTTCAGCAAAAAAAAACGCGTGGGCGCGGGACACCTGGTGGATCTGCAAGAAGCCACGCAGTGAGGCAGGATGAGTTGGGAGTTGGGAAAGGTTTTCTATGCTCTTCTCACTTCTCACATGGGCATATACGGGCATAGTCATATTTGAGAGCGACATGTTGCTTGAATATTGCTTGAATATTGCTTGAATATTGCTTGAATATTGCTTGAATATTTGCGTGCAGAGGTTGTGAGCAGATATAATATATATATATATACACATAATATATATATATATACACACATAATATATATAATATATATAATATATATATATATATAATATATATAATATATATATATATAATATATATATAATATATATATAATATATATATATATATACACATAATATATGTATTCTCCAAAAGGGAGGGGCATGCATGAGCGCCTGACGCCCTGAGTTTGGGCTCATGAGGGCCCCCAGGTTGCTCTCAGGTCTCCTTGTGGGACAGAGAGCATAGCCTGGTGGGTCCTTTTTGGGTTGTGATTGAAGCCTCACCTCTCTCCATCCTGGCTCCCTTGTGGGGTGACGGTGGGGGGAGGGAGGGGTTTTTCGAGCAAGAAGTGGGCAGCCTGTTCCCCCTTGTGGGGCTTGGCTGCCAAAAAGTGAACTGAAAGGAGGAGAGGCCAGGAAGGGAGATTTGAGTCTCTATCCCTGGTGGTATTGACCACTGGGTTCCAGTGTCTTGGAGGTGGAAAGATGCAAGCCATCCGTCAGCAGCTGCTGGATAAGGGCGGCACCCTTGGAGACTGGGGAGGCCTGATAACCAACTGGCTTCAGCCTGATGACCAACTGTGGACCGAAGGAAAGGCCTTCCCCGGAGATGTCCTAGGCCAAGCACGGGCCATCATGAGCATGGGAGCGATCCTGGAGTACGAGTGTGTTGACAACCGAGGCCGTGAACAGGGACTGGCTTTGGTTAGGCTCCTTGACTGGGAGGATCACGCCCAGGGCATCCTCAAGGCCGAACACTTGGTGGCCAGTGATGGATATTATGAGTGGTATGCGACCCAAGAACTCAAGGAAGGAAAAGGGCTGTATCATATCTGCGGCTCTGGTCGGGGGCAATGCAGTGTCCGCCTTGGACGTGGCGATCGCAGGGAGTTGGTGCACCTGCACAAATGGAGGGTGACCAGCCCCCTAGTCATGATGGAGAGTGCCTACAGCAAGCCGATTGCACTGCAGGCCTTTCAAAATTGGGTCAATCACTTTCAAGCCCGTGTACCTAGCCCGGCACGACCTCCGGCACCCCCTCATGAGGGTGGGAGGGGTGATGCAACGGGGCTGGACAAAGCTTTGGAGGCGGTTGACAAAGAAGTTGAGGCTGCTGAACCTCAAAGGAAGCGAGCTGAACAGGCCAGAGCTATGGAAGTGGATAAGACTCCAAAGGGGTCAGTGGGTGCCCTGTTGGAAAAGAAGGCAGCTGAGAGACGAGAGGCCATGAGACTGAAGGATGAGGAACGAAAGAGACATCGTGACAGAAGGAGAAGCCGGAGCAGAGGGAGGCGCAGGAAAAGACGCCCAGGCCGGACTAGTTCTGGCGGGGCGTCAGGGAGCAGATCCTGCTCCTCAGGCTCGTCGCACAGTTTTCGGAAGCCCTCTACCCGGGGGGAGGACGAATTATGGCGGCAGAGCAAAAGAAACCCCGGGAAGCTCCTGAAGAAAACGATGCAGGAGCTGAGCAGGTATCTAGCCGACCGAGCTCCGGGCAGCATGGAAGGAGGAGATTGGACCGAGCTCAGGATGATGGCCTACGTCTCACAGGTTATCCTGACGCAGCATCCCCCCCAAGCCATGGGCGTTCGGAATCACCGAGAGCTGGTGGCGCTCGGGCGAGCCATCGACCTTCTCCTGGCAGGTCAGCTGGGAGAGCTGGGGGACTTGTTAGCCCAAAGGCTGAAGGCCGTCGAAACCGCGGTGGCCGAGCAGAGCTGGAGTACGGCCAGGCACCAGGAGCTGATTCCCTCGCAAGCGGCGTCCCTCACCACCGAGGGGGAAAGAAGGAGAGCAGCACGGCAGGAGGTGGCTCATGGGAAGCTGCGCGAGCTGGTGAGCAAGGGGAGGCGCCAAGACAAATAGGGACTCGGCGGCGGGGGGAGAAACCAAGGTCCTCCCGTGACGCCACCCCTGAAGAAGGAGTAAAGCGGTCCCACTCGAAAGGTTCTGATCGAAAGCGGTCACCAAGAGATCGGCGCCGACCCGCAAGCGAAAGGAAAAGGATCAGGTTGGCACCTGGAAAGGGGGCTCTGAGAACGAGGCCGAGGAAAGGCCGCGGGAATGGAAAAGGCCCCCTGAGTCGCTGGTCGACAAAGGGGGCGCAGCAGGAGGTGGAAAAGGAGAAAGTTCAGAGACCCCCGACACCTATGAGGAGGTCAGCGAGCAAGAGTCCCTTGAGACCGTCCAATTGAGTGCTGATGCCGATCACTCCATTGAGGTGATGAGAGCATGGTTGCAAAAAGAGGAATGTGGAGGCCTCACGGTCGCCCAGCCAGGCGCACTGCTGGCTCTGGCAGTTTTCAGAAGCGGCCCCCCCGTTGGAAAGCTGTTGAGTCGGAACGTGCTGCCTGGGTCAGACGACGGCGTAAAAGGGACAAGGCAGCGGAGCCTGTTACCCTTGCCGCTTTTGCCGGACTCAAGAGAAGCCTTGAAGGAGCTTTTCAACAGCGGGGAATTCAGGCGCCTGGCTGGGACTTGGGGCACAAAGAAGTGGAGCAAGGAGAAGGCAGCCCGAATGAGCAGAAAAACGGGTCTGCTTATTTGGCATGGGCTGGTTGTCAGCTTCATCAACCATTTGTGGTCAGGAGGAGGTGAAAAGGCGGGGGTCTGCCTGGGCCCGCCCAGTAAGGCTCAGTCTCAGGCCCTGGACCGCTTGTGGATTTTTGTGCGGGACTATGTTGACGATACATCTGAGGTCCAGGAGAAAGTGCAGCGCTCTCCCCTGCTTGGAGATTGGGGAAGCAAGCTGGCTGATGTCAGGATCTCTTATCATGGGGAGATCGTTGAGAAGTCACAGCACCTGACGCTGGACCAGATAAAACCAGGCCTTCCGCCTGCTGGCTATGGAGCTAGCGTGCCCTTGGCAGAACTCTGCGATGGAGAACTCAAGGAAAAGCTGATGAACCCTTTGTCAAATGTGCTGAAAGAAGACTTGCCGGCTGACATACCTCGCCCGAAGGTACAAGCTTCCCAGGAGCAATGGAACATGATCGTGAAGGACCTCTATGAAAGAGGTCTGGTGGAAGCAGTAGAGCAGCCGCTGCTTGTAAGGGGCCGACCTGTCCTGAACGGCTCTTTTGGGGTGATTAAGCCCGGCAAATTCCTTGAAGACGAGAGGCCTGTGCTCCGTCTTATAATGGACTTCAGGGGCACCAATTCAGTGAGCAAGGTGCTGACTGGAGATGTTCGTAGTTTGGCTGGTGCACCAGCCCTGCAGCACCTTGTACTCCCGGAGGGGCGAGTAATGAGGATGTCTGCTGATGACCTTGTTTCAGCTTTTTATTTGTTTGCCATGCCTCCGGGGGAACCAGATGATGGCCTTTAGCATGAAGGTCCCCTGGACGGTGCTGGGCGTTGAAAAAGAGGGCGATGTGTACGTCGGCGCAAAAGTTTTGCCAATGGGATGGTCGTCGGCTGTTGGCGTACTCCAGCACGCCCATAGGCGCTTAGCCCTGCGGTCACCGTTGGCCGGGGCAGGCCTTTTGGGGCGCTGCGAAATCAGGCGCGACGCCATCTTCCCTGACCTGGAGAAGGAAGATGCCCTCTGGTCACTGTATTTGGATGACTCGAACCTGATTGAGGTGATGTCAAAGAAGGTGGCAAAAGAGCTTGAGGGGCGGCCATCAGATGAGCAGGAGCACCTCAGGAGAGCGTGCCGTCACTGGGGAATTCCGGTGTCGCTGGACAAGGCCCTGGTTCGAGCCAACTCAGCAGAGAAGCTGGGGGCAGTCATAGACGGGGATGGAGGAATTCTGAAGACCTCCACCCGACGGGCGTTGGAGAGCCTGTCCTTGGGTTTTTGCCTGCTGAGGCAAGATGTGGTTCCCCGGAGGTCACTTCAGGTTTTTCTGGGAAAAGAAGTGCATACGCTGCAATTCCGGCGGCCTCTTTTTGGGGTACTGGATTATGCATGGAAGGACATCAGCAATGGCGAGGTCATGACCCAGTTGGGTGGTAAGACAGTTGAGGAGATCCTGCTGTGTGGTATGAGCCAGCCGCTCAGAGCAACGGATTTGCGTGCCAAGCTGCATGAGGTGGTCACTGCCTCTGACGCTAGCGAGAGCGGCGGTGGCATGGTCTATGGCTCGAAGTTGTCTACCGAAGGGCTGAAGGAGATTCATGCTTTGGAGGAAGGGCTGGATGAACCCTTCGCAGGCCCGGTGAACCTGGATGAGAAACAAACCATCCTCGTCCTGGATTTCTTTGCTGGGATAGGTGGACTAGGTGGACTGTCCCGAGCACTTCAACTGGCAAAGATTCCAGTTTCACGGCTGGTGGTGATCGAACAGGACGTGGAGTGCCGGAGATTGAACGCGGCTCGCTGGCCGGGTTGCGATCTTGTAGTGGATATCCGGAAGCTGGGTCGAAAGGAGCTTGAAAGGATCTTGAGGAGTGTCCCTGGCCTGACCGGAGTGATAGCTGCCAGAGGATCTCCATGCCAAGGGTTATCCAAGTTGTCGGTGAACCGCCAGCATTTGGAGGATCCTCGTTCGCAGCTGTTCTACAAGTTCAGCGAGCTGCTGGGAGTTGTGGATGAGCTTTGTGATGAGCTCAAGGTGTGGTGTATCGCCATGCTGGAAAATGTCATCGGAGAGATGATGCTGACATCGAGGAGATGAGCAAAGAATTGGGAGCTCCTCCGATCATGGTGTGCGCCAGCACCCTATCTAGGGTGAGGCGCCCGAGGCTCTATTGGGCAAACGTGGCCCTGGAGGACCATCCAAGCTACACATGGGCCCAACATCGGCTCTACTCTGAAGTAGTTTTTGAGGAGTCCCCTGAGCCGCTTGAAAAGGTGGTGGACGCAGGGTGGACGTGGCCTGCTGGAGAATCTGATGACCAGCAGAAGCTACCGACGTTCACCAGGGCGATCCCGAGAAAGCGCCCGCCAGCACAGCCCGCAGGGCTACTGAAGTGCGATGAAGCTACAGTGGCGCGCTGGAAAGGCGATCAAATGAAGTACCCGCCTTACACCTACCAGCATCAGTTTCTGTTTTCCAGCAAGGAGAGCCCTGAGACAAAACGAGTGGCCTCGGTGACCGAACGGGAGCGTCTCATGGGGTTCCCAACAGGTTACACCAAAGCCATGTTTAAGAAAGACGCCGGAACCGCGGAAGAGGCTGAGCAACAGAAGACCAAGAGGGAGGCAGCCCTTGGAAACAGCTTTCATGCAGTGGTGGTGGCCTGCCTGATGGATCTGTGGTTGTGGGCAAAAGGCATCCGCACGGACCCTATGGGGGCCCAGGCCATTGTGACCGAATGGCATGCCGCCATGGGCGAGCCTGAACTTGGTGACTATGGTCCTCCTGTGGCCTCAAACGCAGCCTCGCCAGGCACCCCTCTGACAGAGCTCGAGGAGGAAGAGGCCATCATGGCCCTGGAAAAGGACGACAGGCGCGCTGAGTGGCTCAGACTGTCAGGCCACCATGGTGCAAAGACAGAAACGGTAAACCCTCTGAACGTCAGGCTGGTGCACCACTTCCTGCGCCGGTGCAGAGTTCAGAGGATCTGACGTGCGTCTGGACTTGGGCCTTCATCCATCAATCCAAAGAGATGGATCTGGAAAGTGGGGCAGAGTTATAAATGGCTGCGCAGGGAGCATATCAACCTGCTGGAGCTGCGTGCCATCTTGCGCACTTTGGAATGGAGGTCCCGCTCCACCTCCTTCCGAGATTGCAGGTTTCTACATTTATCTGACTCCCAGATCTGCATCTCTGTGCTGACAAAGGGCCGCAGCAGCAGCCGAAAGATAAACCGAATCCTCAGAAAGATTGCCGCCTTGTGCTTAGCCTTGAACATCTACCCGCTGCACGCATGGATCCAGAGCCGGTTGAATCCGGCCGATGCCCCGTCCAGGAGACATGCCACAGCAGATTAAGTACAAGGAAACAAAGGCTGAGCGCAAGGCAGAACGGCAGAAACTGGGGAGACTTGAGGATCAGAGAGTCTCACCTGGTACCACGGCACGGTACCAGCGCTCTTTGGATGAGCTCTGTGAATTCGCTCATGCATCAGCTGATCATCTCCTAAGGAGAGTTGATCTCGGCGACATTTTGTCGGCCTATGTTGAGAAGCTTTGGGAGGATGGTGATACAAAAACTATGGCCAGCTATACCTAGCTGCAGTTCAATTTTTCCGGCCGCAAGTTAAGGGACAGCTTACAAAGGCCTGGAAGCTCCTGGCACTGTGGGGAAAGTTGGAGCAACCTCGCCGGGCAACCCGTCTGGATGCCCCGCTGTGCCTAGCTTTTGCCGGAAAGTTTTCTGCAGTGGCAATGGCATGAGCTTGCCTGTATCACCATAGTCGGCTTTTGTGGCCTGCTGCGAACTGCTGAAATGTTCCAGCTAAAAAGATCCCAGGTGGTCTTACCACGAAGGGCCAACCAAGCTGCCATCCTTTTTCTTTTCAACACAAAGACAACAAAACGGAACCTACTGGAGGCAGAAAAAGTGATGATCACTGAACAAGTGGGCATTGACGCACTTCGTTACCTGTGTAACCAGGTTCGCAAGGATGAACCCCTGGTTAGTGTCAGCCCAGCCAAATTTCGTACCCTCTGGAAGGAAGTGGTCAATGAATTTTTGCTGACACAGTTTCACTATTTACCTTATTCCCTCCGACGCGGTGGAGCCACTTGCGCCTACCGAGAGGGCATGTCCTTTGACCAACTGATGGCAAAGGGACGTTGGCGAAACCTCGCCACAGCCAGAGGATACCTCGACTTGGCGTTGCAAGAATATGCAACGATCTCCTTGCCACCTCAGTCCCTTCCAAAGATCCGCGCTGCTCAAAGTGCCTTTAAGGCAGCCGGGTTGGGGCGCGTGGAGGAGGAGGCAAGAGGTGGCTCGTTTTAGGTGTCCTTTTTAGGTTTTCTTACCCAGCACTCAAGCGCTTGAGGTGACTGTGGTTTTTGCCTATTGACAGAAGGCACCTTGACCCAGGCACAAAAAGTGCGCGTGTCGAGGTCAAGAAGGGAGGAAGGGAGCGTAATGCATATATATATATATACATAATATATATATACATAATATATATATACATAATATATATAATACATAATATATATATGTATACATAATATATATTATACATATAATATATATATATAATTATATATCATATGTATATATATATAGTTTCATATCAGTTTTCAAGTGCCGTCGTGTTTTTAGTTTCATGCGATCTCTATCTTGGCCGTACTACTCGTACTTGTTTGTCACTTATATTATTTGTTCCTCTCGCACGTGTATGTATATATATATATATCGTGTGTTTATTTGTTCCTTCGTTTCTTTCTTTCTTTGTTTGCTTGTCTGTTTGCTTGCTTATTTGTGTGTGTGGGTGTGGGCGTTGGTTTCCTTTCTCTTGATAGTTCTGTCGCTTGTGCTTACCATTGGTGTGTGTCATCATAGCGTTCATGTTTGTAGTGAAATGGCACATTGATACTGTTGGTTTTAGAAAACAACATGTGGGGAATGTGCAAGGGAACTATGACTGGCAAAGTGTTCATGTACGGTCAGTGTGTATCAATTCTATACAGAAATTCGCGGCACGAGCTGTTCTCGGATGACACAGCGGTGGAGTTGATGGTTGACAGTTGATCGTTTCCTTGGCAGTGGCTGCGGTCCTGCCAGGCGGCTTTCCATGGCAGGGCCGGGCGGAAATGTTTGATACTTGGAACAGCCAGTCGACGAAGAGAATGTATGGCGTTCAGATATCTTCACATGTTCTTCATGTTTTATCATGGTTCTACATGTTTCTGTTTTTTGCTCAACTAAATGCTTGGTTCGTTTCTCAACGACGGATTCAATGTAAGTTTGTTCGAACACATTCAGCATCTGTGCCGAGGCACGCGCCATGTCTCCGCAGGAGCGCAACTGAAGCTGATGCAAACGGTTGGAGCAGCATTGCTCTGCAAGCCATCGTTTGTAGGCAAACCACTGCTCGCCTTTTGTGTTCAGTTTTCGGGTAGCCAGAGATGAAGCTGATAGACAATGACAAGAAGCAAGATGAAAAAGGCCGAGAGGCACTCGAACATGGTGTCAATACAGGTAGATGATCGTAGATGATGTAGGGTCCAATGTAGGGGTATGGTGAGCTCCTGTAACCTGCCATGAGGAGACAGCACAATGGTGCAACTCTCTGGCACTTTGTTGGGGGCTCCGAGGGCAGACACCAAAGTTGGTTGTCAAGACATACAAGCAGTATGAACGAGTCCTCATGCAGCACATCTATGCGACACCACTGTTTACAAGGCAAGAACCGTCCACCTAGCCCTTTGAGTCCCTTTGAGTCCCTTTGAGTCCCTTTGAGTTCCTTTGAGTCCCTTGTTCGGTTGGCTTTGGCCATGTGTTTGGCCCATTGGCATTTTCATTGTTGCCAAGGTGGAGTGAAAGGCCGCATCTTGCGAGATCTTCAGGCAGTACTAAACAGCAATGCCAGCCGGAACATGCCGGAACACACAAATAAATCGATTGAAATGATTGTACACTTGACTTGAGGAGAGATGCCTGGGTTTCAAGAAGCTACGAGATGTATCGGCCAAAGTAAGTGGTTCATAGGAACCGATCTGAAAGAACTTCGCAGAAAACAAGTCAAACATTCACAAAGCACACACTCTGTCACAACAGAGTAGAAAATGTAGAAATACACAGCATGCGGAACATTTTATACTCGATCTTATACTGTGAAGTGCTAGGAGCAGATCCAAAGGAGGCAGATTGATGGGCTGCAATTCGACCAAATGCTCAGGCCAGGGCAGTCAGGGTCAGATGGGTCAGCATGTTGTGCAAGGTTGTGCAAGGTTGTGCACAAATCGAACGATTTTTGTTTTGTAGGTTGTGCAAGGTTGTGTCTGTTGTGTGCTTGAAATTTGACAGATTGTCGTTCACCTCAGATTGGTAAGCTCGAATATGTTGACTTTATCGAGTTGGTAGGTTTTGCCTCTCTGACCACAATTTTGAGTGTGAGTTGCTGAGTTGCTTTTTATTTCTGCAATGGCATTTGCACACGTTCTGATCTCACATTGCATGTGATCTGACATGATCTGACACTTGCTGGAAGGACAAATACACTGACAGATTTGGGCATTGAGGAGACATGGATCGCAATCATTCGGACATTTGGCGGTCTCCTTACCTTCTTTTCCCAGAAGGGTTGTGGTTGGAAGGATTGGTTGTTGTTCAGGGAACCAGTAGCGCCCAGTAGTGCCCTGAAAACCATCTTTTATACAATATTGAATAATATTGATGGCATTTTTCTTCTGTTTCTTTCAGGGTCTCTATCTTGAAGACATGTCCGCTTGAGGCCATTTGAAAACTCTCATACACTGACTCGACTTCACTGGCTTTCTGTCAATTAAGAACCCCCAGGAGGTCCTTTTCTTCATGTTCTGGATCCACATAGATCATATAGATGCACACGACGCTGTCACATGAGGATTTAAACGCGCGATTGGCGCTGTCCATCCGTCGAAGTTGGACTACCGACTTCAGCTGCGACCTTTGTAGACATGGCACTGGGGCACATAGCAATCTGTGACGCAAACAAGACAATTGAGTGACACATCATGACACATCTCCAAACTAAAGGTCAAAAGCGCACAAATGGACCATCATCCCACCAGTTCTTTTCACTCGTTTGCACATGCCAATCGTCAAGGTATGTCAATGTGATCTTTGTTTACGCTCCGCTTTCATGATTTGCGTGCTCAGATGGTGTGACTTTCGTCAATTGCACAGCCGGCCAGGCCATATGAGGGATAGCTGGTGAAAGTGTATCATGCATGCAGTGGAACGTTTCGCACTCAAAAAACTGCAGGCAAACCATTGCAAACCATTTGTATGTCATGCGGCTGCAGCCACTTGGGCCTTAAACATTTCAGTACGTTAACGCTCGATCCTGTTCCTCTGTGAAACCCTGGAATCCGACAGCTATGGGCCAGCAAGAGAAGCCAAAGATTTGCTCAGCAATTTGAGCCTTTTTTTGGTGTACGTTGAGGGTCAACCTGAGGCATTGGATGATCATGTGATGAGGATGGCGAAGCGTCATTCCGAAAAAGCATTTATGGTCTCAAGAGGGACGATATGGACGATCACTTCCCAGCACGGAATCTATCGAAGTCCTGCGAGCTGTTGAGCCGAGCCAGTCCAGCAGAGAAACTTCAAAGGCAGTTGTCGGCAACCTCCTTCACTGGAAGTCCATCGCCGTCACATTGTGAGACTCCAGAAGCTTCGTAAGCTGGCGAAAGTGGAAGAAGTTGCTGCGAAGTTTGAGTGTGAATCTCATGACAGCATCGAACGTATCCCGCAGCTGTAGCGATTAAACCTTCAAGGGCCAGCTGTCCCCGCTTGATGTTGGTGAAACCAAGTGAGATGTTGCAATAGGTCATTGCAATTTTTCCTTTACGGGTAGCAGATGGTAGCAGTAGTATGTTCATGTATATATACTTGGTTTTCACAGTTTTCCTATGTCTTCGTGCATGGGGCAAAGGTGCTTGTCAAGTCCAGGTCAGTGAAAACAATTGTCAGTGAGGGTCAGTGGCAGTTCGTCTATGCTCTCTATATGGTCCAGCCTTGTGTTGGTGAATGGTGTAGGCATACCAGGTGTATCCCGTTTATTTGTCAAACACATCCACTCAGCTCTTTGTGGGAGCAAAAGTTGGTTGCTGAACATGTGCGCTTGGCAGATTGGAAGAGTATTTGTATATACCTACATACTATATCATACTATCATATCGCGGACAGATTGCAAGCAGTCAGCAACGCACGGCAGATGCAGTGCGGCTGCCAACAGTCCTGGGTCCTCACGCGCCATGCACTGGCCGTGCTAAATCAGCAGCCCTTCGAATTGGCCGCGTAGATGTGAAACAGGCCACCACCCTTGTGATATCAGCCTTCATTTGGGGGTCAAGACGCAAAAAGACGCCCTTCTGTACGGTATGGATCCCCAAGTGTGCGCAATTCAATGATCGCAAAATAGGATCAATGGGCCTACACAATTTGGCCAAATAATGGAAACTCCTCTGAACAACTTGCAAGAAAAAGGCCAAGGTAGGTCGAACAAACAAGGTTTGCCTATCCTGCATTGTCCACTGTCCCGACATGGGATGTTTGTGTGGAAACGGAAGGGAGTCAACCACGGTCATCCCAAAGGCAATCTCAATGAAACTACAACCAACCGGAGCCACCGAAGCATCATCATGTGAGTTGACCCATTGGATAAGCTGATGCAAAAACGCAATAGGATACCCTGTCTCAGCAGTAAATGTACAAAAATCAGCCAAACGAGACAAGAGATCCACAAAACTATACAAAAAACCTTCACTCTCACTTTCCTCATCGGAGGCAAGCACCTCTATCGCAGGTTCCGGAGAAGCTCCATGCGTCTGCTCAAAGATGGCAAAGTAGTATTGCCGCAAGCGATGAAGCCGGTCCATCCATTGCTGATCCCATTGATGCTGAGTATCCACCAGTTGCCAGAAAACGGCCGGACGAGCCAAGTTCTTGCGGACGGCTAGCATGTCAACCTTGTTGTTGTTGATAGCCACCCACTCTTCAAAAGGACTCTCGCACAGCTCAGGGTCCAAATGCGACGGGATCCAGGAGGAGTCTACCCAAACTCCAGCTCCTTCTGCCAGAAGATGGTCCACGTGGACCCAGAGATCTTCGTTCGTCTGCGCCGGTACCGGCGACCAACCCAATCTTCGCTGTTGATAACCCTCATGAACGAACTTGGCATCCATCCAGACATGTGTAGGTTGACGGTGCCAAAGAGCCCACTTCAAAGCACTGATGAGTGCCGTGAGTTCACCTCGGCCGATAGTCTGTTCTAAGCCAGAAACGTGTCCACTGGCAATAGCCAAACCACTGGAAGCATTGAAAACCCCCCAAGAAGCAGCATGACATTCGCATCGCCCATCTGAAAAACAGGAACCATCGGTGAAGACATGCTGCAAGGCATCCTCGGAAGGACCACTACAAAACTCCGCTGTCTCGTCAGGAATTTGCATAAAGTAATCACGCAGTGCATCCACATGTGGGGCCCGAGGACAAAGCAAGTGTTGCGTGAAGCAAGAAGGCCAGGTTTGAAGCTCCGCACTGGTCAGAGAAAACTGAACCCTGAGATTACTAAACTTCAAGCAAACCAAAAGATGTGCATGAGTATTGGGGCAATTACAAACCTTACACATCCCGTCCTTCAAGACATCGTATTTGCTATGGATCCAGTTATCTATGAAGGCGCCGCTCTGCAAAGCAGACTGCAAAGCCTGCTGATGCGCCGTCAGTGTCTGATTGTGCTCCACCGTCACAAAGCGATCAATGCCCACCAAACTGCGCAGAGATGGGCGGTGATTGACTTGTTGGGCAACCCGTAGCAACCATGCATCCTGCAGCAAACGTCGCATCAAAGAAGCATTGAGCAGAGTCAAATCATGCTCACCACCCAAATGATCGCAGATAAAAGGAGGGTCCTTGACAGACCAACCCACACTGTTGAGTGTACTGAGCAGGACACTGAAAGGTCCTTGTTGAAGAGCACCATCATAGGATCCAAACCACCATCGCCAGCAATCAAGCAAAGTAGGAGACCGTTTGCAGATTCGCTTGAAGGTATTGAGAACCAACTGGACGTGGTAATAGCCAGGATCAACTTGCATGTTCAACTGGAGCCCAAAGCGGAGTAAGGCATTGGATCCAGCCTGATTCCACCGGAGCGCCTTGTTGGCACACTGACGCAGCTTGTGAACGTGTCCATCAGGAAGAGGACAAATAGCCACCCCATGGAAGGCAGCCGCCCAAAAAGATGCTGGAAGCACTTGGATCTTCTGGAAAAGTGGCGCCTTGCTTCGTTTCAGGCGATCCCATTTGCGCTCCAAAGAGAAGGCTCTCCCTTTGAGCAGTCGGTTGCGTCTGGCTAAACCAAAACAAAAGCTCCCACCAAGTTCCATGGCATCCTGCTTCATTGCCAATCCTAAATGGCTTAATGTAGCCCGACTGGCTGCCGTAAGGCCCCATGCATAACTTTTGGCAAGATCCATGCAAAGACCCCACAACTCGAAAAAACTCTTGGTGGAGAAAAAAGCAGAGACCACTGCCAATGCTTGAGTACCCGCCGTAGTCAGGTTATCCACATAGCTGAACAGATGCACCGAAGGTGTGAGGATTCTCATATAGACATGGTATGCCCAATCCACCAGCACCATCCCAACCACCGAGAGGGAACACCTTTCTGGTAGTCCTTGAGTGCTTGTCAAGGCTGGGCTAAGCGAAGTGCGCACTTCAAATGCCCGTGGAAAAGAATCCAAAAAAGTTCGCCAGGAAATCAACAAGGAAGGTGGAAAACCAATATGGGTAGCCAGAGCAAAAAGCACATCCCGGTCAATGTTATTGAAACACTTCTCCAGGTCGGCGCTGAAGCCGCAAAAATCCAAGTGGTGTTGAAGACAAAGCTCAATATAGCCTTGGAGTTGCATCCAGACCTGAGCGCACTCTCTTCCAGGCAAAAACCCTTGAGCAGCAGTGGGAACTCTTTCCGCCAAACTCCGCAAAAGGGGGCCAGCTTGGAGCCGTGACCAAGCCCTGTAAATGCAGCTAAGAATGACTACCGGGCGAAAATGCCCCGGCAGGTGGGAGTGGTCCTGTTTTGCCAAACTGAGGACTTTGCCAAAAAGCAACTGTGCCGGCCAACGGCAACTAGTGCCATTGATCTGTCCAAGGAAATCCAACAGCTGTTGAGTGGCCTGGTCTGGCAAATGCCGCAAGTCAACAATGTCAATCCCATCAACCCCCCGAGCTGCATGACGTGGAAAGCGCTCCAAGGTGTGTTTCCAAGTCTGAACTGTCAAAGAAGGCAATGGGAATTGACATCGAGGCATAAACGCCTGGATGAATCCGACAATCCGTTGCCAGTCGGAGTTGCCGATAGTAGAGGTTTTCTGCCATCTGGGTCTCCACAGCTGAGTCATGGCATTATGAATCTCCGCCAGGGAAGTAAAGAACCGCATGTGTTGAAGCTCATCCCCCACCTCCAAAGTAGCAGGCAAGGTCGCCACAGTGAGCACATCGCCATCCACATGGGTAATTGACAAAGCACAATTTTGAAAAGCCCAATGTCCATTGGAGCTTGCTTCAACTGGGCGATCCAAGTGAATTTGGTTGGTAGTATGGCAAAATGCCAACACCGAGTACGTGATGGTGTCCCACAAAAAATCGAGCTGGCCACGGCCTGGATCACGAAGCTCCCGAAAAAGTGCATGACACGAATCATCATATTTGGCTTGGATAAGCTTCCCCTTCTGTCGAAGGTGCCAAAGCTCAAAACGCTCAAAATTGATCTTGAAATCTTCAAAAATGATCCCAGCCAAATGCCCATCTGGAGGAGCCAAGGGCAATACCACAGGGGCAGCTGGAGACTTGTGCCTACGTTGGAGCCACCATTGGGCAAACGTGGACCGAAAACCGGTGGCCCTTTTGATTGAATGCCATAGCTGCAAACGATACACCTCAGCATCGAGCGTGTTCTTCTCCGCCAGGGCAGCGTGCTTGTAGCTCTGCAAGCGACGTAATTGACGGAACCATTTGTGGACAGCCATCGAAACCTGGTTGTTCTTGAGTCTAACCTCGCCATGTCGCGAGGGTTTGGCAACCGGTGGTGTCAAAGGAGAACTCATAGGAGTAGAACGTTTCGCTCTTCCTTGACATCTGGCAGGCAGAGCGCCATCAGGCTGATCCTGCACATGACCATGTAGTTGAACTTCCCAATGCGCTGCCCAATCCCGCAAGAAATCTTCGGAGGAGCCAGCATGAACATGAAGATCAGGTTTAGCCTGAAATGAGGCGTGCCAGGCAGCCTCATCCACTTGGCTCCAATCAATCTTCGATGGCTGAGGCCAGCGAGAGATGACCATAGTGTTCGTGGGTAAACGAAAGTCGGCAAAGACCGTCAGATGGTCCGCAAAGATCGCCATGGTGCCAACTTGAACACAAAGCATAGCCGCTTCTGGAGACAACCAGAGTAAATCAACTGTAGTAGCACCTTTGCAGGTGGCTTCTATGGGACGAGCCCACATTGGAAGCCAGGCATTGTGCTTCTACCCAACCATAGTGTCGCCACAGTTGAAAGGCATCCAGGCTGTCACAAGATTGATTGAAATCACCCTGGATGATGCGGCAGCCAACACCACCGATGACCACTTCCTTGCTGAGGGACTGGAGCAACTGTTCATTGAGAGCCCGACTCCTTGGCCACGTAGGGCTGGCTGGAAATCCATACACGGAAGCAACCGTGAAGGCAGTAGGACCAATGAAATGTCGTGTCACCATAGTCCGGCCAGCTTCACGTTCTCCATGCGGCCAGGGGATGGCCAGTTCTTGTGAAGGAAAGTCGGCCATGATGCCCACTCCTGACCATGTGCCAGCAAAGTCCGAATTGGACCGAAAAGCAACTGGGGCTCCAAAAAGGGAACGGATGGAGCGATTCTGCAAATGCCCGTAGTAGGACAAAGTAGAAGCCGTAGATCTTTGGGTTACCGAAGTCAAATGTGTTTCGGCAAATGTCCAAATACCTGGACCCAAATTGATGGCAGCCAGTTCTTTCCCCCGAAGTCCACAGGGATTTGAGCAACCAACCCGCAGGCGCTGAAAATCCAAGGAGTCTGAGAAAGAGTGGGGCTGCTCATCATCATCAACTAATGGGCCAGGATGATCGGCTTCACCAAAGCGAAATCCACCCTCAAAACGACAGCGGGACCCAAAAGAATCTCGAAACGAGAAAACATCCTCAGAAAAATCGACCGCACCAACTTCAAACACATCAAAATTGGAAAGCGTCCAAGAAGTCGCAACAGAAGGAACTTGAATACCTCCGGCCCACACCCAAGGCATCAGGAGGAACAGCCAGTGCAACCAATGCAAATGGCCTCGCCTGCCAGGAGTTGCCGCCTGACAGCGAGTCTGACCTAGTCATGTGTCAGTGCGAGTCTTCTTGGCCAGCATCGATTCAATGCGGTCGAAACGACTGGAGAGCTTGCTGTCCAAGGATGCATCGAAGTCCCTTTGCATAGCCATCAAAGAGCCCTGAAGAGAACTTTGCAAGATCTGCCTCTTGTTGTCCACTTCTTGCTGGATCATATCAATCTGCTGAGACACATGTTGACCCTGTTGCTCCACCACAGCATGAAGATGTTGAAGCTGTTGTTCCGTGGTGTTCATGCGCTGGCCTGCTTCTTGGAACCAGGTTTGAAATTGGGCACCTTGAGCCTGCAGCTCAGTGATGTTGACCTGGAGCTTCTGGATGATTGGATCACGCTCATTAACTTCAAGCCCAGGAGGTGCTTGGAGTGATTGCTGCTTGATCTCCTCACGACAAAGTTCACGAAGTTGCTCCGTTCGTCGAGCAGGTGCAGCATGGGTGGCCGAAGAGGCAGTCACTGGACGCAAGCTGGCCCAAGGATCGGCACCAGTCGTCCATGGGTCATCTGTTGATGAAGCTGCAGCACCTTCTTTCAAGAAGCGCTTCGTCTTCTGAGACGCCACAACTGGAGAGCTCACTGAGGACGTGGTGCAGTCTTTTTGAAGCGTGATGAGCAGATCACGATCAAATCCCCTTAGGACCTGACTTGGAGGCTGCACATCTGAGCCAACTGCCCAACCTTGCCCTTGGTGGGTACCTTTGGTGGTCTGAAGTGGACGTGCCTTCCAGCCCCACGCAGCCAAAAGCTTGCTGACTTGTTGCCTTGAAAGTCCATGAGGCAAGGGAAAGATCGTGTAGATCTTTTTGATTTGGACAGGCACATATTCCTCGTCCGGGCGCAAGGCTTCATGGGTAGCTTGCTCATAAGTGGCCTTCACTCGGATGCCAAAACGGTTGGTCATCTTGGCCAAAGAGAGACCATGGTCACAAATGCGCAATTTGTGTTGAGCTTGTTCCAAGGTAAGTCCTGGAAGCCACACCACACTGTAGTCAGGGTGAGGTCCACGTTCTGTTGGTGCCCTGGGCTCAATGTAGACGCCCGTAACCTGGACACCAAGCAAGTGATCCAAAGCCACCGAAGGGATCCGCAACAAAGCCTGAAAGTAGGCAGCCAACTCCGCTTTTGTAGTCTTGCCATTCATCGTGCAAAAATTGCGTGCCCAAATGTCCAAAATGAGTCCAGGGAGCTCCTCATCAATGGGTGGATGATACAAGGGACAGTCAGCACCACATTGTTTCCCTGAACACAATCGAAAAGCCGGAATGAGCTGCAGTAAAGCCCTGATGGGACCTTTGGTAATCTGAGCCCAATCCAGTTGTACTTCATCACGGTAAATAAGGACCTTGACGATGTCAGTGCTGGAAACTTGCACGTCAGGAGATGGGGCTTGCTGACGATGAATGGCTCCATCACTCAAGGTAAGAAGCGAGCCTTGAATCAAGAGTGGCTCACCAGTAGCAGCACAAAGAGCTGGAAATTTCATGGAAACCACATTGGCCATTCCCATGTCATCCGAGGAGATCTCTGCCGGAATCAAGAGCCCAAGCGTGGTGGAGCTAATGTTGGCTGAGGCATCAAGAAAAGGTTGAGCTTGACGATGAGTACAAAAAGCGAGCCCATGTGCATCCTTGCCAACATCATGAAAAGCCAATTGTGGTAAATCGTCACCATCATCATCCACAAAGGTGTTGGGAATCAGCTGCAACGTACCAGGGTCCACTGGTGGAAGAGGTTGAGAATGAGAAGCTTGCTTCTTCTGTTTGGCACGTGGAACATGAGCACCATGTTTGGTAACTGCCTGCTTGTTGATGTGCTCCTTGAGCTCATAGTCTTTGACCAAGCGCATGCGCGTTGAAGGACGCGAAGCCAAACTCTTCAAGGAAGCCCAAGGATTGGATGCACTCAAAGCTTCTTGGGTTGCTGCATGGCCCAGTGTCTGAATAATATCCTGCGCTCTTTGTTCAGAGGCCTCAGCTGGCACTCCTTTGTCCTGCAGCAAGGCAATGAGCCGAGGAGGCAGGTCAGGCGCAGGACGTCCATAAGCCATCAATGTCCCTGGTGTGCACCGCAAAGAAAGAAGTCCATCATGAAAGTCCAATTCGGTGCTAGAAGTCCAATCACCAGTGCAACCCAAAATGCGAGCAAGATGCCGAAGCGCAACAGTGCCACATGTATGGGAGTGGAATTGAGGAAACAGGTTCAGATGATGGACACCCTGGCAGGGTGCATGCAGCAAAGCACTGAACTTGGTGGCCAACAGCGTAGATGCCGAGAAGGAAATCGCAGGAAGACCGTCAAAATGCTTCCAATACCAACCGGCAGGCTGAAGATGTCCCCAAAGCAAAGTCCAATGCTGGTCATGAGCGAAAATGCAGAAGACTTCCGTGAACCTCTCACGCCGCCAGAGCCAACCCCTTCACCATGCAAGAGAAGCTCAGCCATCTGGGGGTGAACCAACAGGGCAGGGCAGGAGAACCTAAAAATCCAAGGTTCTGTGCACAAAGTCCAAGCATGCCCTGCCAGATGATGCCATCATGAAGGCCTCTTGCAGCGTGGCCCACAAGTCCAAAGGCCATAATGGGTTGGCATCTGTGCGCTTGCAAACGAACACTGCTCCAAAGACGATGGTCTAGTCCAAGAAATGAGCCATCCATAGTGGTGACGTGGTGAATCCCAAAAAGTTGGCACTGCTGCAAAGCCTCAAACACAAAGGAACCCGCTGAAATCAGCACAACATGGAAGGATGGAGGATGCTCGATGCCAATGACCAAGGTTTCCAAGGCGGATGTCGGAAAGACATACTCCGTGATTTTCATCATATAGACTCCATGTTCCCCTTGCGTCAACAAGATCTGCTGATCGGGAAGCTGTCGTGGCCCATCCCAAATGGTGAGATGTCCCCCTCGATGAAGAGCAAATTGTTGTGCACATCGCAGTTGTGCGACAGTGACCAGCCCAGCAACGCGCAGCTGAAGTAAAGTGCCAAACTCATCCTGAATCGCAAGAGATCGCGGAAGCGAAACGGATGAGCCAAACATCTGGGAGTATTCATGCACCAAACGAGTTTTGTAGCCCTCCAGGATCCGCAGAGCATGTGCATGTGCCTGCTCCTCAGGATAGCCCTTGGACAAGGCGTAGAGACAGGCAAAAACCCAAAGTGCCTGGAGTGGCGAGGCAACAGAGCCAAGCAGGCAAAGTGCCCCACGCAATGGTGCCAAAAAGCTGGTGGTCGCTGAGAAGCCCAAAAGTACAGCCAACTCGATGGGGTGCAAAAAACGAGGAGACATAGTCAATCTCGAAATGACGAAAACTCCTCTCAAACCTTTGGATGTCAAGGTCTTCTCGGAAAAAGGGCCAACCCGACAACCGCAAGGGCAACTTTGTAGAGCATTCCCGTATGAATGCAAGAAAGTAGGCGCCATGTCCTCCGTGGTCAAAATGCGCTGCTCGAAGCCATATCGACCAGAAAAGTACGCATCACCCTCCACCTCGGTCAATTGAAGTTCCAATTCCTGTGAAGTGGACCAGCATCCCCATGAAGGTAGGACGGAATCGATGGTCCAAAAAGTGGAATCTGATGGCCATTTCAACAAGGTGGTGGATTGCCAAGACATAGGACACAAGAGAGCCCACCAACGATGACGGCGACAAGGCCATTGATGAGAAAGAGCCAAAGTGATGTCATGAATTTGCCAGCCCATGATCGAAGCCAGAGCATCCAATTCCGCTCGCACTCCAGAATCATATTGAGCTTGGGGTGTGCACTCCAGAACTAAACAATCTACCACATGTAAGTATGCAGTTCTGAGCACCTCCACCAAGACCTGATGCCTGGGATCAGAGGAACCTGCTTGTCTGCCTTGAACCGAGTGAGGTTGACATGGAAACCCTGCTGCAAAAATGGACGCACAAGTGCCCGAAGCAGCATGTAGATCACCTTTCGCAGAATCGTTGCAAAGGTCTCGGCACAGAGCACTGCAGGAGCCGTACTGGTTGAGGTCCAAATGCGAGCAGGCAAGTGCGCAGTTATCAAGAACTGCAAGGACTCGGGCGCCGGTGATCACAGCACCAATGCCAATCCCCCCCATGCCTGCACAAACCTCCTTGACACCTTGATTGAGGTATGGTCCCAAATATGGAATCAGTCTGGTGCGTTCATCCATGGAAAGAATGAATGGTTCAACCTCTTGCAAAATGGCATCATACAAGGTAAATGAACCCTCTTGAGGTGGGCCCATGAAAATGAAGGTGAGATCCGTCCCCACCAAGCGAACTTCTTGAAGATCACCCATGAGTAGCCTCTGCAATTTGAAAACGCCAGAGAAGCGCTCCCCTTGCTCCCCAGGTCGGCGCAGGAAATGGGGGCCAGACATGTGAGAAAACAGTCTCCCGGTGATCAGATGTTCACAGTTCTACCCCTGGAAGGAACTTCGGGCCAGAACTATATCATACTATCATAATCTATCATATATTTCTATGATGCGGCTATTTGTACTTTGAGTATTTACACTTGTATGGGCTTCCATGCTCTTTGTGAATGGCGAGGACAAAAGTTTTGGCAATTCACTCAATACTTTGCCCGTCTTGGACAGTTCACAGTTCCATTCGCTGACTTTCCGGATGCATTGGTCCGACAAAGAGCATGTTTTGAACACCGCTTGGGTTTGTCACCGCTTGGGTTCGTCATGTTTTAGCTATTCAATCAAAATCAATCTATTAGATGTTCTCGCTGGGTACATTTGGGTACTGTATCTGTTTGCTCTGTTTGGCCTAGCCTTGCAGGCTCACTTTCAAGGTCGCGACGAAGATCCACGCCGCCAGAAAAGGGCTAGCGCCTGATCCCTGCTATTTGTGAGAGGTTGACAGATTTGCTATTGAACCACTTGAGATAGTTTGGTAAGATGCATAGAAGATGGATGCAATTATACAACTCTCTTGAGTTTTCTTCACATTGGCCCTGAACTGTCACAAGTCGTGATGTCCCATGTCCCAGGACTTTTTTAGCCAAGCAGATAGTCTAGAGCCAGAGTGGAATGCTCAGCGACTCCCAGTGCATGGGCTTCTTTCTGTTTTCTCCACGTCTCTGCTGCAAGCCAATCATCCAACCGAGCTGCAGCATACCCAAACCACTTTCGGTCCTGGGAAGACTTTGGATTTTGTTTGTTTTAGTTATTTTAATTGTAAATGTATGTTTGAGACTCTTGTGCTCACTTGAAGCCATGCAGCGATCACAACATATTGCCTCTTGTGATGCTGCTCGCAACAAGGCACTCGAGGGCAAGCTTTGGTGGCATGCCACCGTCTCGTGGCAGGTGTGCTGCATATCCATTGGCACCTGTTGTGGCAGTACAACTACCAGTATCAGTAACTTTCAAGGATTCCAAACTATTTGTTTTGCTTGGAAACAGAAGTTGTCTCGTCATGTCCGGTCCTTTTCCAGCTGCTCATGCTGCTGCAAAGGGATATGCCTTGGTCACCATCTATGGCCCATGGAGGTGTGGTATGCGTCACCGCGTCACCCTTGAAACATCTTGAACTGGTGAAGTGCATCTTTAACATTTAACATTTAGCATTCTTTAACATCCTTCAACATTCATCAACTGTCTTTGTCTTGAGAAGGGCCATCCCATTCATTATCCCATTGTCCTTTAAACAAAGAAGGGACTATGCACACCATTGGTTCCTACGCCACTTAAGTAAAGGAGGATATATTATGCAAAGGGCCCCCACCACGATTGCCCGATAAAAGCTTCCGGTGAAGAAACTGAAAGAAGACTTGGAGTGAAGACTTCTAGTTTGTACTGTGCCACCCTCAAGGTGGCATGGACCGAATGGTAGCGAGCTTGGCCTGATATCTGTACAATATCGACATATATCGAGCATATCATGGCAAGAAAGAAGAATGGAACAGAACGAAACGGGACAAAACAGGCCTAAACAGGCTGATTTTTTCTGAACCGAACGGTTGTAGCATTTTGTAGCCGTGTTGCTTTGCCTCTTGGGCTACCAAGGTCGGCCGAGATCCTCGGCTTGAGGCATTTGGAATTCAATTTCTTGCCCCACATCAAAAAAAACTTTCTCGTGTTTGGTATGCGGTCGATTGTATTGATTTGAATTCTATGATATTATTTTAATCTTCAAGACGCAACGTGAATTATAAAATCAATATTTGATCCCCAAATTGGGTCGGTTGAACGTGTCTCGCTCGACCCGCACAAGCAATCGGCAGCCAACGGCCAGGATCCATACGCAGCTGTGGAGCAGAGGGTCCTGCCCCTGGGGGGGAGGCTTTGTACTTTCACACAGCTAGCATATTTGGCATACTTCTAATCGTCCACAATGCTCCAGCTCATACTTTGTAAGGACGGCATTGATGTTAAAAAAAGATAGCTCTCGAATGCTCTCGAATGCTCTCGAATGCTCTCGAATGCTCTCGAATGCTCTCGAATGCTCTCGAATGCTCTCGACCTCTTTTGACTCTTTACGGAGGAGTTCCAACGTGGGACAAACAGATCTGTAAGATCGGTTGAGTTTTTTGAGATGGCGGAAACATACGGAAACTGGATCGAGTATGATTCGAGTGTGATTCAATCTTGATCCACATGCACGCCCAGGTGCCGCCGCCATACCCTGGGGAGACTTGGTCAAGATATGTTAGATATGTCAAGATTCGCTCAACTTTGGGGAAATATGTATCTGAATCAAGACTCCTTTGACTTCTGACAGCTTGTTTCTTACTTTCACATACTTTCACTCTTTTTATTTTTATTGCGACTTGCAATCAATACTCTTCATCACCTAGGATCGTGGGATGGGATATGATGACTTCTACGACCGGGGCATGGGTCAAATGCCAGTACGAAACTTACAGCGCTCGGAGTTGTTCTGAAGCTTAAAGTGGCTTAAAGACTCTTTTATCGTCAGTTATCTTCCTTCGCAAATATGCTCCATAAGTATCCATAAGTTTCATAATGTTCCATATGTTCCATGGAGCATTGGGTTGGGAACATGAGTCTTTGAGCGTTGTGTTGAGCTGCCGCCAGCTGATTGTTTCCACACATCCTTTTGTGCTGTCGTTGCATGTTTTTGTTTGGGTCTCTAGAGAACCCTGTTTAGATTGATTTCCGTTGACGACGACCCAACATCTTCAGCTTGTTCACAGAATCAGGCGGACAGAAGGGCAGCTTGGCGTGTGGGCGGCTTACTTTGTGATGTAGGAGTGTCTGAGACCGGAACACTGCGTAGCAGGAAATGCCTCCTATTTCCAGGATAAACTCCTCATTTCATGCTTTCTAATCTTTCTACACACGCCTGAAATCAAGACCCGAAGAGCCGGAAGTGAATTGAAATCTGAGGGTCCACCTCCACGGTTGGAAGGCTTGGATCCGTGGGGTCGAGGCACGGACAAAGTCACGATGACCGCGTCGATCCACGTTGATCCACTTTGATCTACTTTGTACAATCATATTTGCCGCCGAACATCCGCATGCCACTGAAGACTTATCCGCACTTCAGTGGAAAAACACATTTGCTTTCTGCATCAACGCAAGGCCCACAAATCCAGATTCCGCCATCACCCCCAGCCGAACATCCGCATGCCACTGAAGACTTATCCGCACTTCAGTGGAAAACACATTTGCTTTCTGCATCAACGCAAGGCCCACAAATCCAGATTCCGCCATCACCCCCAGGAGCCAGAGATGGGTTCAAAGCTCAGTTGTTCTCACACCAAAAAAGAGGAACAATCAAACAATCCTTGCAAGGCTTCTAAATTGTATCAGAATCATGCAAAAACCATTCTTATACAAACAAACTATTCTTGTTCTGCTCGCGCTGGTGCTTGGCTGTGACGGCTAGGTATGGCGGCTATGACCCCGGATATGATCCAGGCTTGATATGGTTTTCCACGCATTTCAGTGAAGTAGCAGAGGTCTTTACTGAGATTTGTTGGCTACCGGAGACATGCACAGAAACTTCAGATGTATCCATTGATCTGACCTGTAGAACCTTTTTCGTCCAAAAAGTATTGAAATATATAATTAAAGGACCGGATAACCCCACAAGTCAACTTCTTCCAATAATGAGTTTCAAAGGTTGTAGCGGGGTCGGAGAAGGAAGGAAAGACAAAGGAGGTGGTGAAAGACTGTGTGTGAAAGTATGTGAAAAGATAGTATGCATGTACGTACGTACGTATGTATGTCTGTATGTACATACGTACGTATGTATGTATGTAATGTAATGTAATGTAATGTAATGTATGAATGAATGTATGAATGTATGAATGTATGTATGTGTATGTGTGTGACAAAGTTGCGCGTGACACGCGCGTGAAAGATGGTGTGTGTGAAAGTGATGTGTGCTTTTTGCTGGCTATCTTCCGTGGAAGAAAACGGGACATCTCTATTGCTGTCTGTATTTCTCTGCTCCATTCCAGAAGTTGTAGTTGTGTTGTAGTGGTATGAGTGCTAGCTGCTAGAGCTGTTGTCTGCAACTTCTAGTTGGACCAAGAACCACAAGAACGACATGATGAAAGCCTGCATGCAAGAAACAGAATCTGCCTGGGCCCCGCCTGTCGTAGCGACCACGAGCAAGACCAGCCCCTGGCCGCAAGTGTGTGTGTGTGTGGAAGGAAACATGCCAAAATCAAACATGCCGAAACACGCGGAAAGAAGAAACATGCCGGAAGATAAACATGCAGCAAACATGCCGGAGCGACCACGCACAAAACATGTCGTTGTGGTGTAGTGGTATGAGGGTGGTAACACTACCCTCTGCAATGTCTGCTTCGGCCGCCTCTTTCCACGTTGGGCTAAGGTCACCAAAGCAGAATTACGCAGCTCCGGTCGTTTCTTTCCACGTTGGGCCAAAACGAACAGAGCAACGGTAGATGATCCTATGACCGCATCTTTAACTTGACTGACTAGTTGTAGTTGTGTTGTAGTGGTATGAGTGCTAGCTGCTAGAGCTGTTGTCTGCAACTTCTAGTTGGGCCAAGAACCACAAGAACGACATGATGAAAGCCTGCATGCAAGAAACAGAATCTGTCTGGGCCCTAGTTGTAGTTGTGTTGTAGTGGTATGAGTGCTAGCTGCTAGAGCTGTTGTCTGCAACTTCTAGTTGGACCAAGAACCACAAGAACGACATGATGAAAGCCTGCATGCAAGAAACAGAATCTGTCTGGGCCCCGCCTGTCGTAGCGACCACGAGCAAGACCAGCCCCTGGCCGCAAGTGTGTGTGTGTGTGGAAGGAAACATGCCAAAATCAAACATGCCGAAACACGCGGAAAGAAGA